GCTAACACCACTAATGCTGCTAACACTGCTAACACCACTAATGCAGCTAACACTGCTAACACCACTAATGCTGCTAACACTGCTAACACCACTAATGCAGCTAACACTGCTAACACCACTAATGCTGCGAACACTGCTAACACCACTAATGCTGCTAACACTGCTAACACCACTAATGCAGCTAACATTGCTAATGCTGCTTACACTAGATGGCATCCATCCATCATCCTCTTATTCCTTTCAGGGTCATGGTGTCCATATCCAGCAGTCACAGTGCGAGACACCAACACAACTGTGTGAGGTCTTGCAGGGAAGCGTTAGCATTGTTAGCATTTGCTTTTGTCTCAGGATGATGTCATAACGATGATGTCATAACGATGATGTCATAACGATGATGTCATAACGATGATGTCATAACGATGATATCATAACGATGATCATCGTTATGATCATCATTAGTTAGCTGCATTAGTGGTGTTAGCAGTGTTAGCAGCATGATCATCATCATATCATTCTGAAATAAGAGCTTAAATGTAACCTTCAACATTTAACATTTTACATTTAGTTAGAATGACACATTTAGATTTAACATTTAACATTTAAAGTCAACAATTATTAAATGAGCTAAATTTATTTAACACCTGTCGCTGTAACCATGTCTCATTTTAGGAATTTAACATTTTTTTACAAAAACTCAGATGAGTTTAAATTTAATTCTCTAATTGTTTATTGATGCAGAAATAGTTTAAAACATATATTTTTAATAAAAATAATAAAGTTTTTTTAACATGATTTAAAAACTGAAGAAACTAAAATAAATTGAAGGAATAAATGCGGTTTAAACAAACACCTGCAGAACCCAGAACCTTTAGAACCGAGCCGTGGTCTCTGGTTCTGACCCGATCAGCTGTTCCTCTGCTCCTACAGGTGATGAACACGAGCGCGTGCGCGTTTTAAATGCTTTTTAAAGGCGGATTATCAGCGGCGCACACGCTGCGTCAGGCCGCGCGCATGAATACTAACGAGGCCGCAGCGCCTCTTAATCACGTTAGCGGAACAATATCCGTGCGCGCCATTTGGGCCGGTTCCCACCCCCTCCGGTCCGGCCCTCCGCTGCTCCTCATCCTCCTCTTGTCTCCTTGTCGTTGCGCGTGCCAGTCACCTGCCGCCCCCCCAGCCCCGCGCCCCCTCCCGGACTTCCCGCCGTCTCTTCGGAACCGGGTCGCGTTCTGATTGGTCGCGTGACTGCGGGACGTTTTTGTTGGACAGAAAGCTCATTAAGGGCTGAGACGCGCCTCCAATAAAGAGAGTCCACACACACACACACACACACACACACACACACACACACACACACACTTCT